TCGCTGTGAAGCAACATCCATCCCAACCGATGGCACCTCAAAGTCGCAAAGCCGTGATGGCGGTCATCATCTTGGTGGCTATGGCGGCTATGACACTGACGAGGCCGTGGCTGGGATTTGTCGGGATATGGCGTGCTGATCAGGCAGCCAAGCTCGGGAGAAACCCTGGGCGGTTGCCACGCTCAGCATCCCTGACGTGGAATTGGTCAGACAAGCTGGGTGAAGGCAGCTTCAAAGAAGCTTACATGGCAAAAGTCACTGGTGAGGGCGACTACTATGGATATGAGGTCGGCAAGAACCTCGTCCTAAAGTTCATGAAGCCAAAGCAGTACAAGAAGGGCTTTCGGATTACGAGTGCAGACGTTGCAGCCCAAGAGCTTGCACAGGCTTATGCTAAGAAGTTCGTGAAGGAGCACCGACCCAACAGAGGAGGCCAACCCTTGCATGTCTTCTTTCGCATCGGCAAGCTTGTCAACCTGTAAAGACTTTACTATGTCCGGCCAAACCAAGATTCTCAAGGATGAGAACATGTTGGTTGAACTTCCACTGTATGGCGAGTTTGAGAAGTTCAACTCCAACACAGGATGGTCATCACGTGTTGGGTTGCTGCCGAATGCTTTCAGTCACTGGACTTGGGTTGTCAGCGACGGCGAACACTTGGTTTGTGACCTTCAGGGCTATCGCGGCTTTCCGGATGGAGTGCTTCTTGATGGTGAAAAGCGACACTACTATGGATTTTCCGACCCTGCTGTGCTCAGCCGCACAGGCGAATACGGACCTTCTGACCTCGGCCTCAAAGGGCAAGAAGCCTTCTTTCAGAAGCACGTCTGCAACGGCTTTTGCAGATCTTTGGGTTTGGAAGGTAAGGTGCCGCTGCCCAAGCATGGGAGTACAAAGCCATGCCAGCGGCAGACTTTGTATGTACCAAAGCAGCCAGGACTATAATGGCTATTGTTCCCCACTAGTTAATCAGTAGCAGTAGCAGTAGCAGTAGCAGTAGCAGTAGCAGTAGCAGTAGCAGTAGCAGTAGCAGTAGTAGTAGTAGTAGTAGTAGTAGTAGTAGTAGTAGTAGTAGTAGTAGTAGTAGTAGTAGTAGTAGTAGTAGTAGTAGAGTAGTAGTAGTAGTAGTAGTAGTAGTAGTAGTAGTAGTAGTAGTAGTAGTAGTAGTAGTAGTAGTAGTAGTAGTAGTAGTAGTAGTAGTAGTAGTAGTAGTAGTAGTAGTAGTAGTAGTAGTAGTAGTAGTAGTAGTAGTGGTAGTAGTAGTAGTAGCAGTAGTTAGTAGTAGTAGCAGCAGCATTAGCAGTAGCAGCAGTAGTAGTAGTAGTAGTAGTAGTAGTAGTAGTAGTAGTAGTAGTAGTAGTAGTAGTAGTAGTAGTAGTATTAGTAGTATTAGTAGTAGTAGTAGCAGCAGCAGTAGTAGTAGTAGTAGTAGTAGTAGTAGTAGTAGTAGTAGTAGTAGTAGTAGTGTAGTAGTAGTAGCAGCAGCAGTAGCAGCAGTAGTAGTAGTAGTAGTAGTAGTAGTAGTAGTAGTAGTAGTAGTAGTAGTAGTAGTAGTAGTAGTAGTAGTAGTAGGGGTAGTAGTAGTAGTAGTAGTAGTAGTAGTAGTAGTAGTAGTAGTAGTAGTAGTAGTAGTAGTAGTGGTAGTAGGTAGTAGGCAGTAGTTAGTAGTTAGTAGTTAGTAGTTAGTAGTTCGTAGTTAGTAGTTAGTAGCTAGTAGTTAGTAGCTAGTAGTTAGTAGTTAGTAGGTAGTAGTTAGTAGTTAGTAGTTAGTAGTTAGTAGTAGGTCGTCGTAGTCGTAGTCGTAGTCGTAGTGGTAGTCGTAGTAGTAGTCGTAGTCGTCGTAGTCGTCGTAGTCGTCGTAGTCGTCGTCGTAGTAGTAGTAGTAGTAGTAGTAGTAGTCGTCGTCGTAGTAGTAGTAGTAGTAAATAGTACCAATGGTACTCTTATTGTATGACTTTGTCATGATTTATGAGATGATTACTAGTATTGCGGATCTTGCAAGTCCAGCTTGGTGGATGCCCAGCGGGCAGCTTTTTTAAGGCTGAACAGGTCTGGCACTTCAGAGGCAGATTTGCGGATCAACCAGCACTCTACCTTTGAAAGTGAGAGGTGCCAGTAAGCTCGAACGGTGTGATCATGGTGTTTGTGGCAGGTGCGTATTTTACCTGTATACACAGATACGATGGAGCGGAAACAGAAAAACGGCTGTGACCAGCATGGCTGAGAAACGACTCTTTACGGCTGGTGGCAGAGTCTTAAGTCTTAAGCTTGATGTCCCTATACCACTTACAGGAATGATCCCAAACACACTTTGACGCTACATGGTTTTTGGCAGTTGTGGTGTTTTCTATCGGGTTTTACGAGGTTACACGCTTTTTCTTAGCACATGTCGGAGTTGAGTGTTTTTTTGTGAAATGTGTTGTTTCGCAGCATTGGGGTATGGGGCGCAAAACCCTTACATCCTAAACACCTTGTACTTTCAACCCTTACATCCTAAACCCTAAAAGCCTAAAACCGTAAACCCTTACCTCCAAACTCTTAGGCCATGTCGGCACAGCGACAGAAGTTTCAGTAAACCGAACGTACATAGTATACTTCGGGCGTGGAACTGATTTTGGAAGCTCTTGCTTGCCAGCTTTTGTCGTTTGTCTCGCTTCTGCCATGACATCATGAGAGGGTCTCGGACGCAAGGATGGAGTGCGAGAGGACCAGGCAGTCAAGTTTCAAAGCTCCAAATCTCCATGAAAGCAACCCTAAACCCTAAACCCTACACCCTAAAGGTCCAACACGGTGGATGTCGTGGTGGCCGGGCACGGCGACACGGAGGATGTGGCCGCTCGTTCCTTTCAGATGAACCGTCTCAAGTTGGGGAGGTATCATGAGGCAGCCTTAGCAAACCGTGCAAAGGCAAGCCCATTGATGAAAATAACACGGGCAGGGTTAAAACACTGTGGACATAGTCGAATGAGCTAGGTAAAGAACCCAGGTGCAAATCGTCAGAAGCACGTCACGGATTTCACTACGTTCCGTACTTGGGCTTGCATAGAGATTCAGGGCATGCCTGAACAAATAGGTACGAACGGCAGTACCGAGAGACTGCATAAACAACCTAAACAAGCCATTACGTCACTACTACCACACTGGAAACGTACGGGCGAATCATTGGCACTACAGAAAACAAAACCACCGACGTCACTGACGTTGCACCGGAGCTCATAGCACATCGGAAACGTGTCCGACAAGTTTGGCCATTGCACTGCTTCGCAGCTGCGAACCATGGCGAAGAGGCGACCAAAAAACAGCATAATTACGTCTTACAAATCCGTCCGCCGCAGCAGTTCTGAGGTCAGCAAAGGCGTGTTTAGACGGAACCCTCTTAGAATGCAAGTAAGCTACACCCTAAACCCTACACCCTAAACCCCTTATACATTTCAGAGTGTACTCGCTTCTGAGGCACTGCCAGAGCTCCTTCGGGCCTACCAGACGGTGGCCCTGACCACCAACGCCTGGGCCTTGCTGCTGCCGAAACCCGAAGTGGGCCCCTGAACCCCAAACACTTGGGGGTTTGGGGTTTTGGGGTTTGGGGGTTTGGGGGGTTTTGGGGGTTTGGGGGTTTGGGGGGTTTTGGGGGTTTTCGGGGTTTTCGGGGTTTGGGGGTTTTGGGGGTTTTGGGGGTTTGGGGGTTCAGCATCTCATGCTCTACCTTTCACTGCGCGAGCAGCTGCCAAGGGATAGATAAGAAGCGCCCACCCGCCCATAGACCCCCAGACTCGAGAAAACAAGCAACTCAGGGCCCAATAAACTCCTAAACCCGAAGGCCCTGCCTGAACTCATCTGTCAACCTGACCCAGCTTCCGGCCAGGTGCCGATTGTTTCTTTGGGCCCGGACTTTGGCAGCTCGGCAAGAGACACTTTCACGATGCGGCACATTTCTCCGCGTCCTTCTTCACTTCCGTTGCTCCCTTCAGGGTTGAGGCTTTAGGGTCCAGGCTTCAACCCAAACCCGAACATCCCCAAAGAACCCGAAACCCCAAACCCCAAACCCTAAACCCTAAACACTTTTTTTGGTCAGAAGGGAACCTGGGCCCTAAGAAACTGCCTACTGTCCTCGAAAAAGTGCCTCCCTGCGTTCTTCGCGGAGTGATCCCCCCTCCCCTCCCGCTCCGAGTGACAAATGCCGGGAGTCAGCCGCCCCAATCTGATGGTTGTCGGTGTGGTTTAGGTTTTAGGGTTTGGGATTCCTAGCTTACTCTTGGGTCTAGTTTCAAGGCTGCTATGCCGGGGGTTTAGGATTCAAGCCTTCGGGCAACCCCCCTCACCCCTCCCTGCCCTCCGACCTGATACTTGCTGAGTGCCCTCGGGCCCTTGGCAGATGCCGACAAGAAAGCTGACACCGCCGTGCAGATGGCAGAGATTCGCCAGCAGGCGCCCAGGGATGTGCAGGGTTGTCCTTCGAAGAGTCCTCGTCTGAGTCTCCCACAGAAGCACTAAACCTTACAGGGGTTGGGGCTGGCTGGCATCAGCGTGGGGGAGGGCGGGTTCAGACACCCAAACCCCAAGCCCCAAGCCCCAAGCCCCAAGCCCCAAGCCCCAAACCCCAAACCCCAAACCCCAAACCCCCCCCCGGACAGGCCCTCATGGGAGAGGGCAAGCGCCGCAGCATCTTCTTCGGCATCGGCACCAACAAGCTCCTTTGCTGCCAGAAGCTACCTGAGGCCCTCTTACAGGGGGCTCGAGAAGGCCCTAAACCCGAAACCCTAACACCTGACGCCCTCCTCAACTTTCCCCCTTCCCAAGGACTTCGGGTGATCCGAACAAGAAGGGGAAGGCGGGAGAAAGCTAGGAATGCTAGAGAGAGAGAGAGAGAGAGAGAGAGAGAGAGAGAGAGAGAGAGAGAGAGAGAGAGAGAGAGTGGGGGGCCCCGGCGAAATCGGGCGGAAGGTTTGGGGATTAGCTTTGGGGCTGAGGGTTTGGGGCTTGACGGGTTTAGGGGCTTCAGGGATTTAGGGGTTTAGGGTTTGGGGTTTTATCAGGGGTTTAGGGGTTTGGGGTTCGAGGGCTTCGGGGTTGAGGGTTTGGCCGGTGGGCCTGTGCACAAGTCTTTTGGCAGATCTACTTCTGACTGAGCTCCGCTTGGCGAACGCCCTGAGCTTGATGCGAAGATGCAGTGGACAGGCGGAAGCGCGCAGCGCCTAAACCCCAAAACCCAAACCCCAACCTTTAAACCCGAAGCCACAGACCCTGCACCCGAGAAGGTGCCGAGTCGGATGTAGGGTCCCTTTAAAGGTTTTAGGGTTACAGGGTTTAGGGTTTAGGCTTTGTAGGGTTTAGGGTTTAGATTGATTTGGGGTCCTTAGGGCCTTTTGGGGTTGTCGGGTTCCTTGGTCAGTGAAATTCGAGGGACCACAAGAACCTGACTGAAACGAGTCTCGCATGTTCATCCGGTTTAGTTTAGTTCAGGGTGCGGGGGGTCAGGGGAACCCCTTAACCCTGAATCCTAAACCCTAAACCCTAAACCCACAGTTGTACTATGTAGGGGTCCCAGGGCGCCATGCGCGCGCCTGCGCTCAATGATCTGCACCTTGAGCCCTGTTTTCCAACTGCCGAGCGAGCCTCCAAGCTTCCGAGGAACCCTAGAGCCCCGCGGAGACCCTGGATAAACCCTAAACCCTAAACCCAAAACCCTAAACCCTAAACCCAAAACCCTAAACCCTAAACCCTGAACCCTGAACCCTGAGCCCCGAAGCTTGGCCCTCAACCCTAAACACCCGAAGCCTCAAAGCAACACCCTGGCCACGAATAGACCCTTAAACCCGAATCCCCCAAGCCCAAAAACGCACCGTAATCAAACCCTAAACCCTCAACCCTCAACCCTAAACCCACAGCCTTAAATTTCAGAGCCCTACAGTCACTGGGAGACTGGTCGCTGCTGGCGGGAAGAGGGCGAGAGCAGTGCTTCCGGTTTCGCAAGGGCCGCAAGCCCTCAAATGCTTTGCTTAGGGGTTTAGGGTTTCGGGCTCAGGGTTTACGGTTTAGGGTTTAGGGCTACGTGTTTCGTGTCTGGCGTGAAGGTTTCGGGCTTGGGGCCACGGCCCAAGGCTTGGGGTTTTGCAGGTTCGGTCCAGAGCTTGGGCTTCAGGAGAGGGAAGTAGCTTCAGAGCAGACAGGGAGCAACAGCTAATGATTCCAGGCAGAAGAAGGGAAGTGGAGAATTCGTGTAACCATTTAACTTAAAACGTATGTGGCAGGCACCATACATGTACTGGTACGTATGCTATATGCATACGTATTTGTGAGCACATGTTGGAGTACGCTGTCTGCAAAATTGCTTTGGGCTTGTCCCCGATCTATACCACACTGCTTCAGCACGGCTGCCCATCACGGCACTTTTCGACTCTTTTCGGCGGCGGTGCGAGCGACTGCCAGGAAAAAGTCAGCTTAAAAATTCCAGCCTGTACCCCTCAACCTTGGACACGCGCTGAACCCCAACGGTTGCAAGGTGTGCCGGAATTACCGCTGCACAAGCCGCAAACTACAAACTTTGAACCCTAAGCCCTCAAGCTATGCTCTTGAGTGTGGGGTCTTCGGGAGCACCCATGTTCCGAAGGTTCTTTGCCTGCAGGATGGATTTCCTAGGAATGGATGGTGCTGCCGCTATGCCTCGAACGCCCAAGTTCCGCAGCAAACTGAGAACAGCACGGAACTCATGGCAATCTTGCGAAGCTCCATGTGACACGGTAGCATACCAAGCGTGAAGCACTATGAATTTGCATTGCAGACTCTGAATTTGCAGACTAACAGCGAGATAATCTCCTGCTCCCAGCACTGTCTGAGACTTCTGACACCCTGGGGGTCCACTCTTTGGCCGTGCGCTCTGTGCGACACAGCTGAGATGTTCGGCAGGCATCAGGGCTTTGGGCATACAGCGAATACATCAATGTGCAGCCGGCCATGCCCAAGTAAAACACATGCAAGTCAGCCACGCGGTTGGGCGTAAGGTAGTTGTGCATCTTGTTGCATACATGTCGAACAGGTTGAAGGACACAAGGAACAATGCGCATGCGCATGCGCGCTGGCATGTGTGCCGGTGCCCCATCTCGTTCCTGATGCTGCTGATGCGCGCCCGGGGCTCCCTGATGCCTCAAGGGGCTGGCTCCAGAGCTTCCAAAACGAGCACACCCAAAAGCCAGAGCCAGCCTGAGAATAGCATGAAAACCCGAGCAAAAGGACGCCGCAAAGATCTTGTGTTTCATGCGTGTCCAAGTGATGCCCCAGAGATGCTCGCCCCCGAGAACCCCGAGGAAGAAACGAAGCCTGGCTGATGGGTGTGGCCCCCGCGCATCATGAGGGCCCCAAGGCCTTGGTGGTCTGTATAGGGGCTCCTAGCGGCTTGGCACAAGGGAGCACAAGAAACCACCGTCGTAACGGCGTTTTCTGCGTTTTTCGAGGCCCCAACCGCTCCCGAAGCCCCGGGCCCGAGCCACTGATGCTCATGATGCGCGCTCCTTTTGGGGGTGGTCGGTACCCCCCCAAAAAATCGGACTCTCACTTGCCGACAAAGCTTATCGAGGTTCAGGGGCGGCAGTCGTTCCTCGAAAGCCCTAAGTTTGAAGTCCTCGTTTTCAAATCCCCGTTGTCAGAGGTACCAGATGGTACGAGGGTGTACGTGTAGGGCTTAGGATGAACATGCACATTGGTCGGAGGTGTTGCTGCTTACAGCCGGATGATGGACACGAGCAGGCGCAGCTTGCTCAATTGCAAATTGCTGCAAGATATTTTTTTGCCAGTCAACTGCGACCTAGAGGAGATACTGATGTAGCCGCGACTACAGTCCATGCAAGACTTGCACAGATAAGGTGAAGTTCATGGTTTAGTTGGCTTGACTTGGGTGTCTGAAGGATTTCAATTCATGGCAGGCACTAATCGATGTGTCTCCAGGATTTACCACCTTTGTTGCATTTGTTTTCCCAGCGGAACCCAATGCATGAAACCCCAAACCCCAAATCCTAAACCCTAAGCCCTTTTGGTCGCTCCTTCAACTCCCGAAGAGGTAAGGAGCAACCATGCAATGGTTAAAACAGCAGGCCTAAACCTCAAGAAAAGGACAAGCTGTTGGGGAGGCTGGCCAACAGCAACCAAAACCCCCTAAACCGGCCCTGAACCCCCACATCTGAGCAGGTCTTCCACACCGGGACGCCCATGGAGTTGCCCCCAGCTGCCTGGAGCCCCAAGCATTCCCTGCCCCTTCTTTCCCAGGGCTGCTGTAGGGTTTAGGGTTTAATTTGGCTTTAGGGTTTCGGGCTTAGGGTTATGAAGTTACCAAACAAGGTCTTGGGGAAGGAGGTTTTTAAGACAGCACAACCTCCCCATTTCGTTATAGGGTTCAAGGTTCAGGGCTTCGTGTTGGTGTTGGATGCAGAGATGAGACAACCTTGGGCAAGCGAACCCGGTTATAGGGTCTACGGGCTGCTGTCGGAAAGTTGCGAAGCTTCGATAGTCAAGGATCGTGGGTTTTCTGTGAGCTGAGGAGAGCGGGATCAATGGACGGCGGGGTTAGGCATTTCATGCACGAAACTCGGACATCCGAAAGCGGCAGCAGTATTGCACCAGTGTTGCATTGGGCTATAGAGCTCTGAAGCTCTGCAGCTTTAGGGCTTCGGCCATTGACTGCGAATGAGAACTTCACGTGTTCTGGGGAGCAAGCCCCCAGGCCCTGAACCTACTGGCTCTTAGTTGGGAAGGAGGGAACTGGGCACATCATATCCCCTATACAAACCCTTTGAGGGATTCGAGAAGGTACCTATTTCAGAACCAGTTGGTAAACCCTATAAACCCGAAACCCGAAACCCTAAACCCCGGCGTCCGAAGGGAGAGCGGAAGTCTCTCCAAGTGCCGCCGGACTTCAGCATCCGCAGCGTGGATTCGACAGCCTCTCCAGGCTGCACCCGAGATTTAGGGTTTAGGGTTTAGGGTTTGGGGTCTAGGGTTTAGGGTTTAGGGTTTAGGGTTTGGGGTTTAGGGTTTAGGGTTTAGGGTTTAGGGTTTAGCGGGCTTGGGCCTGCGGCTCTATGAACTTGTCGGATCATCTCACAATCTGAGCCCGAGGGCCCTGGTCAGGGCACCCTTTACAACACGGGCCCTGGGTATTTCGGGTACCACAACAGGGACTACCAGTATTCTAAAACCCAGAACCCAAAACCCTAAACCCTAAACTGGGTTATGCTTGGGGGGCATTTGTTAATTTACCCTCTTTCCTGTTGAGGGAATCTAGTCATAAATAAATTGCAAAGGGTTCAAAGCACAACTCAGTAAACCCTGAACCCTGAACCCTAAACCCTGAACCCCCGAAATCAAACCCTGAACCCCCGAAATCAAAATCTCCTCTGGGCAGGCGCGGGATACATCAGCCTCAGCGAGGAGCAGAAGGAAAGGGTTTGGGAGGGGCTTGCTTGCTTGGGCCACTGGGGGTTTAGGTTAATCAGTGAGGCCAAAACCCCTTAGTTGAGGAAAAGACCTTAAACTATATTCCGATCCTTAGTATGATGTAGCGTATTCCTTAGTTAAGTGATATTGGGCTCCTCAGGTAGGGGTTTTGGACGTAGCCTCTGCAGACTCTGTGGGCCACTGCATCCTGCGCCCACGAACGAGCCCTAGATGCCGCAGCGCGGGTACGGCGGGCCTGCACCCCCCCGCTCTGCTGTCGTTCTCTCTTGTCTCTTCTCTCTCTTCTCTCTCTTCTCTCTCTTCTCTCTCTTCTCTCTCTTCTCTCTCTTCTCTCTCTTCTCTCTCTTCTCTCTCTTCTCTCTCTTCTCTCTCTTCTCTCGCTTCTCTCTCTTCTCTCTCTTCTCTCTCTTCTCTCTCTTCTCTCTCTTCTCTCTCTTCTCTCTCTTCTCTCTCTTCTCTCTCTTCTCTCTCTTCTCTCCCTTCTCTCTCTTCTCTCTCTTCTCTCTCTTCTCTCTCTTCTCCCTCTCCTCTCTTTCTTCTCTCTTGTCTTTTTCTCCCTCTCTGCTCCCTCTTCTCTCTCTTCTCTCTCTTCTCTCTCTTCTCTCTCTTCTCTCTCTTCTCTCTCTTCTCTCTCTTCTCTCTCTTCTCTCTCTTCTCTCTCTTCTCTCTCCCGGTCGCTTTGACTTGCCGTAGCCGACCGCCAACCGCAGTGACGCACCACAGGCCCGGGAGATGTCGAAGCTGCAGCACATGATCCGTGACTTTGTCATGGAGTTCCTGCAGGCTTTAGGGTTTAGGGTTTAGGGTTTAGGGTTTAGGGTTTAGGGTTTAGGGTTTAGGGTTTAGGGTTTAGGGTTTAGGGTTAGGGTTTAGGGCTACTACAAGTCCCATATGGGTATTTCCCAAAAAAAGGGGGACCGCAAGGAACAGAAGCCCCTTCAGGGAACCCGCCAAAAAGGGTACCCCTATGTTCGGACACTCCCATCTACACACATCTTTCACTGAGCTCCCTTAAAGACCCGATGGCTTGGAGAATGTACCGGCGCTGGGAGGGCGTCTTCCTGGACGCCGTCCTGGAAGACGGATCTCTGGCCAGGACCCCATGGAGATCCAGAGTTGCGGGTGGAGGGGTTGATCTGCGGGTTCCATACACCTCTACAGGCACCTACACCTACCCGAACCCTGGCGGAGTATGGATGCAGGTCAGGGATTTAAGTGCCTAAACCCCCCCGAAACCTGCGGAGCACTGGGCGGCCCAGAAATGCACGACCGGCCCAAACACTGCTTTCCTCATGCCTACGCACAGCTGCTCCTATTTCATCTCTTCGGCGGCAGCCTGCCTTCACAGTGGGACTCAGGTACCCTGCCGCTGCGTGATGGACAGCAAGCTGTCCATTCTGATGCTGCAGGCCTCTTGCGAAGCCGTTGGGCTCCAGGAGCTCTAGGCTTACGTAGGGTTTAGGATTTAGGAGTCGACCTTTCACCCTGATAGCTGGGGCTCTATGCAAGTTCTTTTCTGAGTATCTGGCCATATTGAGCAAAGAAGAAGCTCGGGTAAGTTCAGGGTTGAGAGATTTTGGGGTCTGGGGCGGGAGGGCTTGGCAACCCGTAAGATTTGAACTCCTAAAAACTCTGCAGCTCTGTACCCTGAAACCCTCAACCCTCAAAGCCCCTAAAAAAGCAATGCCAGCTTGTAGACCCAAACAGAGTTTACAGTGTAAGACACTCCAACACGACCCCAATGACGACCCCCCCAAAAGAACTCCGAGACTCCAAGAGCACTCTAGGGTTCAGGGTTCAGGGTTTAGAGTTTAGGGTTTAGGGTTCAGGGTTCAGGGTTCAGGGTTTAGGGTTTAGGGTTCCAACCACGAAGAGAGCGAACACGGGTTGGAGGCGAGAGCGCAATTTCGCGGCAACACCACGAAGCGAACCCAGCCAAAAGCCCAAAATGCAGGAAAGCACACACGCCTGCCACGTTTTCGCAACATGGAATGGTGCAAGCCTCAAAAAGTGCACGGGACCTAGGCTGGAGCGTGCGGCACGTGCACGGGGCAAAGCGTGCTACTTGCGATCTCCGCACATCTGCCTGTGTTTTCGGCGAGAGCGCGATTTTGGTTCAAACGGGCATGCTGGCCACGGTCACGTCAAGGTAGCCCCTTTCCTCCTGACGTTGGAATCCCATACTAGCGTTGGCACATGTGTTGAGAAAATTGCCAGGTGCACGCCACAACGCGGACGGTCGACTTGACTAGCATCCAGGACTTTGCAGTAGCTCGGCAAGTAGTGAGCTCTCGGAGCTCTAGGATTCTAGGGCCCTGAGCCCCAAAACACAACACACTGAGCTCTCAAACCCTAAACCAGTAGTAAACTCAACCCTCCACCCCTACACTGCCAACCCCCAAGCTTTGCAAGGCATGGGTGTGGGAGATTTGTAAGCTTTTGCAAGGGCTATACATCCAAGCCTAAGTTCAGGAATTGTAGGGCTTAGGGCTCCGGGGGTTGCAGGAGCATTGTGCTCAGTGTTCAAAGTTTGGCAGCAACTTGGTGAGGAACCCCACAGCCCTAAGCCCTGGACCCCAAACCTGGGGGGTTTATGCTTGCGTTGGGCTTAACATTGCGCATTCTCATGGCTGTTATTCTGGCTTTGGATCTTTATCTGAGTTCTCGCGGCACAGGGCTTTCCGCAGCTCACAGATCCCACGCATTCCAAGACGTAGTGAATCCATCGGCTCGCTTCCGCGTGCCTGGATGAGCATGCTACGAATCAGAATGCTGTCAGGGGAAGAGTTGGCAAGTGCGCCCGTGGAGGACCTGAGCAATGTAAGGGAGTTGAAGCAGACTCTGCATCAGCTGAAGGGCATGCCCCCACGATTCAGACAAAGGCTTCTTCTCGATGGCGCAAGCCTGGCTGACTCTACCAAGTTGGAGGAGTGATTACTAAGTCTTCCCTTGTGGTCCCCAAATAATTAAAAATTATACCCCCCCCCCCCCCCCAAAACCCTACTCTAATTCTTAAGGCCCCTATATGCCCAAGTTGGAGGAGCCCATGGATCTGCAACTGGTGTTACTCGACTTCTCTCTGCCTAGCCAGTCGCAAGTGGACGAGCTTGCCATCGCAGCCGGAGGTGAGTCGGTGGAGGAGGCTCGCTCTGTCAAGTCAACTCCGCAGATCTGCGTAATAATCTACCATCTCATATTCACAACTGCATGTCGTTGCCAGACAAGCACCTTGCAACTTTGGTATGAAAGCAAATAGCTCGGGTAACACGAATTCATTCCTAGGGTTCTAACAGGGCTACGGAGAAAAAGAAAACATCGGCAGGTGGAGAATCTGCTCCAACGTCCACAAGACCCAAATCTGGCCGACCGGGATGGTTTCAGGCCACTTAACAAAGCTGCTGCTTTCGGCCGTGTTGAAGTCATACGCTTGCTGCTAGAGGCCGGAGCGGATAAAGATCTTGCCGCCAGCAATGGTGGGACAGCTCTGATGTTGGCATCTGGCGCGGGCCATGCTGAAGTCGTAAGTTTGCTGCTAGAGGCCGGAGCGGACAAGGATTTTCCTGCCAGTGATGGGGTGACGGCTAAGACGGCTCTGATGTTCGCCTGTGACCGAGGCCATGTTGAAGTCGTACGCTTGCTGCTAGAGGCCGGAGCGGACAAGGATCTGGCTGCCAGCGATGTGATGACGGCTATGACGGCTTTGATGTTCGCGTGTGTCCGGGGCCATGCTGAAGTCGTAAGCTTGCTGCTGGACGCCGGAGTGGACAAGGATCTTGCCGCCAGCAATGGTGGGACAGCTCTGATGTTGGCATCTGGCCAGGGCCATTTTGAAGTCGTAAGCTTGCTGCTAGACACCGGAGTGGACAAGGATCACGCCGATGGCAATGGGAGGACGGCTCTGATGTTTGCATCTGGCGCGGGCCATGCTGAAGTCGTAATTTTGCTGCTCAAGGCCGGGGCGGACAAGGATATTGCCACCGGCAGTGGTGGGACAGCTCTGATGTTGGCACGTGCCAAGGGCCATGCTGAAGTCGTAAGCTTGCTGGAGATGCCAGAGTGGACAAGGATCAAGCCGACAGCGCTGGGGTGACGGCTCTGATGTTGGCATCTGGCCTGGGCCATGTTGAAGTCGGCCGGAGCGGACAAGGATCTTGCCGCCGGCAATGGGGTGACTCTGATGTTGGCATCTGGCCACGGCCATGCTGAAGTTGTAAGATTGCTGCTAGAGCACAGAGCAAGACAAGGAAGTTGCAAATGGCAGCGGTTTGACGGCTCTAAGGCACACTGCCGAGGGCCATGTTGGAGTTGGGAGTCGCAGAGCACAAAGATCCTTGCAGTCGGCCGCATATGAATCATAATAGTGAAAATAAAATCATGATAATAGTCCCTATGTCTGCATGTGTTTTCTGGCCACGCTGCCATTTGCACTCTTGTGCACTAACACATGGCTACCAACTCAACTCAACAGTCGCCTACGCCCAAGAAGGATGCCCCTAGTTTTCGGGAAGCCCTGCCCACCCTAAACCCTAAACCCTAACCCCTAGACCCCGTAAAAGCACCACAGAGGGGCAGGCAATAGGCTGAACTGCCCTCTCATGTCGGGGGAAAGCGGGTTTAGGTTTTGGGGTGCAGGGTACCTTAAGGGCTTAGGGTTTGGGGTCGAAGATAGTTGTTTCTATTCTTGCTATACCTCCTCATGGGCACGCCTATATTCCCCCCAAACCCCAAACCCCAAACCCCAAACCCCAAACCCCAAACCCCAAACCCCAAACCCCAAACCCCAAACCCCAAACCCCAAACCCCAAACCCTAAACCCTAAACCCTAAACCCTACAAAGCAATAAGCAAAGACCCCAGAAGATGGTGAGGAGATTTGCTCCGGAGGGGAGCTGAAGGACCTTCAGGTCGCTGCGCGGTTTAGGGTTTAGGGTTTAGGGTTTAGGGCTTAGGGTTTAGGGTTTAGGGTTTAGGGTTTAGGGTTTAGGGTTTAGGGTTTAGGGTTTGGGGTTTGGGGTTTAGGGTTTAGGGTTTGGGGTTTAGGGTTTGTGGTTTGGGGTTTGGTGTTTGGGGTTTAGAGTTGAGGGAGCCGTTTGGGGTTTGGGGTTTAGGGTTGAGGTGTGGTTTCTCCTTGGTATTGCTCTTGAGCGCTCTTTTTACAACGGGTTGTTGGGATCAGTTGGATCAGTTAGGGTTTACGTTCGGGTGGAGGGTTCGAGAATTCCACGAGCTGTTGATTCGTTTTTTCCGATTGAGTCCTTAGCATGCAGCACAGAGAGGATCAGGCATCGAAAGGCTGGAGGCAGGTGTAGTCGCGAAGCTCTCTGCAGACGCGGCCCTGTCATGCTCTGTGTTCAAGAACCCTAAACCCTAAACCCTAAACCCTAAACCCTAAACCCTAAACCCTAAGGGGGATGTGTAAGATGTACGGGCTTCGGGCCCTTGGAAGGTCACAACTCCCCTTGACGAGCACTGCGTGACCCTCGTCATGGCAGATGACCAGTGTGTGTCCTTCAAGCACGCACCTCAGGACTGCGGTTCAATTCGGGTTCAGGGTTAAAGGGTTGAAGGGTTTCAGGGTTTAAGGGTTTAAGGGTTAAAGGATGTAAGGGCTTCAGGGTTTCAGGGTTTCAGGGTTTAAGGGTTTAAGGGTTTCAGGGTTTAAGGGTTTAAGGGTTTAAGGGTTTAAGGGTTTCAGGGTTTAAGGGCTTAAGGGCTTAAGGGTTTAAGGGTTTAAGGTAGGGTTTAGGGGCTCTGACAAGGGTCGGTTGCCAAAGCACCTCCAGCATCTTTCAGCAGTTGAGCCCTTGGGGGGTTTACGAACACAGGGGTTCCCCTAAATAGACCCTAAACCCTAAACCCTAAACCCTAAACCTTAAACCCTAAACCCTAAACCCTATAAGGACCCCAAAAAGGTCCCCGTAACATCGTAAACCCCCCCATTGGAGCCCATGTGCAAAGTGTCGCCAAGAACTCGCTGGGCGCTTAGGTTTCCAGACAAGCAGGCGAGGGAGCATTTCGCCACCTGCATGAAGGCGAGCCTTAGGGTTTAGGGTTTAGGGTTTAGGGTTTAGGTTTAGGGTTTAGGGTTTAGGATTTAGGGTTTAGGGTTTAGGGTTTAGGGTTTAGGCCTTGCTCGGGAGCACCGTTTGGGAATCCGGGAGACCGTCCAGAGTAACTACGCAGTACATATGCAAGGCTGCGCAGGGTTGATTTCCTGCCTTGTTGGCTGCAGTGTCTCGTGGCAGCGCAGCGCCCACGTCCCCAAGAAGCTGCCAAAACTGGAAATGCGAGGCTAGAGCGTGTCTCGATGTTTCGCCACCCTTTCCGTGGCTTCTCACCAGGTGCTACGCTTGGCTTTGGACTGAGGGCAGACGATGCTCCAAACATCGGGACCTTTTCAGGCCTCAGGCTCTTTCTTACTGTTCATATACATTATTAATGAAGGGAGGCCTTACTTACCCACAGTAAGCTTCGTTGTCGAAGAAGGTAGTTCTGATGTTGAGATGCGCGACATGCTTGCGACTTGTCGATGAACTGAGAGTGGGGAGTTCCTCCGGGTTACCAGCGCCTTCCTGGCGCCCAGTATACTCTTCTCAACCTCATTCGGATGTCCCCAGACACTCCCATGCCATGCTGATTCGGTGCAAGTCCGGTGCCAGCACGCATTGCGGCGTCTTTCGCTGCCTTGGGGACGAAATGAACCCTAGGAGGGTGGGTGGGGTAGAAGATCCCAATTGTCGGGTTCATTTAGTCTCCGGGCGTTGAGGTATGTCACTGCTGTGGCCATGCGGCATATCCTAAAGCCAATATTTGCTTAAGAACCCCAATAAAGATGCAAATATTCTTCCTCATACGGGTCAAAAATAGGGATTATTGTCTTATATTCTTTGGGGTTCTTGAGCAAAAATAGGGATTATTGTCTTATATCCTTTGGGGTTCTTGAGCAAAAGAAGGGGATTATTGTCTCATATTCTTAGGGGTTTAGGTTTATGGGGTTCTTAGGCAAAAAGTAGAAAGTGGGCCGGCTCGTGCAGCTGCCCCGCTGCGGGACGCGCAGGGAGAGGTCGACATGCAAGCTGCATCGAAGCCTTTGCATCTTACGGATTCCCCTTAGGGGTTTAGGGTTTAGGGTTTAGGGTTTAGGGTTTAGGGTTTAGGGTTTAGGGTTCTTTTGAGGAAAATCACCGAAGTAGTTCACAAGAACCTTTCTGGCGAGTTGCGTGGCAGGTCTATTCCTTGATTAAGGGGTGTTTGGCTCCTCCTTGGGAGCAGGTCTTAGGATTCATTGCCAGCGCTCCCGTCCGGGTTAGCGGTGCTGTGACAGTTGCTGCCCAAAGTGGCCAGCGATCTGAGCCCCCCTTGGCCACCCGAAATCGGAGTTGGGGGTTGATCTGGATTGGTGACCCGAACTTGAACTTGAACTTAAGACTTATGTGATACACTATCATAGAGATCCCAAAAGGGTAGCCGAGTTTAGAACAACCCCCCAACTGACCAAAGGCGCTGCTAGGCATTGTCGTAACATTTCCATGTGGCCCACAGTTGCCGCTGCCGGTTGCAAGAGTATCAGCTTGTGCTTTTAGCTAGCTGCTGCCGCTGTTTCTATTGAATCGGCAGCTGCGACCCCAACTGCCTTTGAAGATGCCGCGTGCCGAGACCCTCCAGCGCCTCCTACCGCATGCACATGAGCTTCGGGAGCCCAAAAGAAGGCAGCACAGCTACCCTTAAACCCTGACAACCACAGCGCCGACACGGCCCCAAGAATGGAAGGGGACCCTAAACCCTAAGCCCTAAAACCTGAACCCTAAACCCTATAACCCCATAACCCTATAAACCCTAAACCCGCAAGAGTCCTGGTTGCCACAACCCATGGGCATCCGGCGGAGCTGTCTTAAAGTGCCCTCGCAAGGCCCCAAGCCCAAGCAGAGCTATATATATATATATATATAATATGTATATATATATATGTTATTTTTTGTTCATCATGTATTTATTTATATTTTCTTGTAGTCGTTCTCGATATTGCCACAAATGAATGAATAAGCAAGCATATATCTATGATAGAATCTATTTGTACAACATCAAAACTGCGGGCTCGCGAGTTAGCGGGCAAAAGTCCCCTTTGTATTTGCTAGTTTTAATGGGATTTTCGAAAGCCCGTGAATTGTACGAAATGTAGTACGTTTGGTGAACCCCTGAGAAGTCTTATCGCTGGGCTCATCAAACTAAAATTGATATTCTGCGGCCCAATTCTGTTTTTTTGTACGGGCCATATGAATGTGTATCATATATGTATACCTATATGGTCCCAAACCTGCAAGATCACATACAACCCTAAGCCCTCAACGGAGAAATTGCGATGTTTGAGCCTTGCGTGATTGACTCAAGCAGACTCCGCCCGACTGGGTAGCGGTGATGCCAGGAAAGCCCTACAGCAGCTTCCAAGATCACAACTCCCTCGCCTGATTCGCTGCTCACCGATAGGCGGCCTAGCTACGGAACAGCGTGTTGAACAGGTCCCTGCTGTAGACACGAGGAGCTCTCCACCGCGCCAGCGGATAATCAGCCTGGCCCACACAGATGTCCAACCGATGCTGAGTGAAGCGCGACTGAGGAGAACCCGCACTAAAGACCAGGACCCTCAGAACACAGAGATGCTGGGTTTGGGCTTAGAAGACCCTAAACCCGAAACTCGAAAAACCTCAAACCCTAAACCCTAAACCCTAAACCCTAAACCCTAAACCCTAAACCCTAAACCCTAAACCCTAAACCCTAAACCCTAAACCCTAAACCCTAAACCCTAAACCCTAAACCCTAAACCCTAAACCCTAAACCCTAAACCCTACACCCAAGACAAGCACAACATCGGCTGAGCACCGAAAACCGGCCAGTATGAAGCCATGGCGAAGATCCGCATGGCAAAGCTACGCTTTCATAGCGGCCTGAGGACTTGCAAGTGTGATCAGAGGGGCGGTGCACCTCCACACACCCAAATGTAGGGGGGGCTTAGGGTTTCGGGTTTAGGGTGTAGGGTTTAGGGTTTAGGGTATAGGGTTTAGGGTGTAGGGTGTAGGGTGCAGGGTTTAGGGTGTAGGGTAAATGTAGGAGGGCTTTAGGTCCACATCCAAGCGCTGCAAGGATTCTGTCGCATGGGTTGCCGTCCCTGAGCCGGCACCGACCTCCTCTGCAATGTGCCTTGGCTTGCACCGTGTTCTCACAGGTTTCCCTAAACCCTAAACCCTAAACCCTAAACCCTAAACCCTAAACCCTAAACCCTAAACCCTAAACCCTAAACCCTAAACCCTGTTTATGTGACTTAGAGAAATGAGTGAATGCATTCGCGTGTTGAAAGAGGGCGTGAGGCCTCGGAATTGGGGTTTCTGGGATTAGCGGTTAAGGATTTCAGGTTCAGGGGTCATCTCTGCGGAGTGTAGTGGGAGGAGGGACCCTTCGAATAGCCCTTCTGACTACGTAAGTTTGCGTGGCTTTGCTGGGGGCGCAACTGCCACCCCAAAGGGTTGCGGCTGTTGACGGTGTGCGTTTTCTGGTCTGGTGGTCTGGGCCCTTCGCTACCCTTGCGATCGGTTCCAGAAAAGCTGGCAAGATTCACCTCGGCCCTGTTTCGCAAAGTCTTCCCGCCTTGGGGCTTTAATGTTCTAAGTTGGGATTTCCCCCTTATACTGACAGTCCTTGAGAAGAAGTATAATGGGGGTACTAGAATCCCTATTAAGAACTGTTAGTAGAAGGGGGGAACATCCCAACACTAAACCCTTAACCCTAGACCCTAAACCCGAAACCCTTGGAGAGCAAGTCTCGGGTGAGCTCCTGCCTGTGTGAAGCTCTGATACTATCATCCGTTGGTCAAAATGAAGCCGGACCCCTTTTAGGATACCCTAAGCCCTAAACCCCAAATCCTAACCCCGAAGCCCTAAACTACAAGGAATCTACTCTTTTGGAGGCCCAAAAAGGGCCCCAGAGTTTGGATCCAGCACAGGCCAGTCGCATGCCAGAGAGCAGCGAAGGAGCCTGGGGTTTTGGAGGGTTTTGAGGTTTTTGAGGGCTTTGAGGGCTTTGAGGGTTTTGAGGGTTTTGAGGGTTTTGAGAGTTTTGAGGGTTCTGAGGGTTCTGAGGGTTCTGAAGGTTTTGAGGGATTTTGAGGGTTCTGAGGGTTTAGGGCTTAGGGTTAAGCATTCTGGGACATAGGAGCGGAACCCTAAACCCGGTGTTCTCCAGAATGCTGCGGCACATGCTCGCCGACGACGTGCCCGAGTTGCTGGAGATTGGCTCGCACCGCTGCTACGGAGGGACCCTCTACCGCTTCGAGCCTCGGCTGCGCGAGGGGGCTTCACCCTAAACCCCATAAACCCTAATAAACCCTAAACTTAAACACGAAACCCGAAACCCTAAACCCCAAATCTAAACCTTAAACCCTAAACCTAAACCCTGAGCCTTGAACCCTAAATCCTAAACCCTATAAAGCAAAAACCCCAAATCGCTTCTCCTGCACGCGACCGATCCTCAGAAGATGTTCATGCTGGTACGTACCGATTTAGGGTT